ATGGGTGCGTAATAGGATATCAGCTGATCTACCAGGATTAAGAGGAGGTAAATCAGATAAAATGAGTCCTCAATTCAACTCTTACCCAAAGTGTCAGCTGTTAAAAAGTCAATTGTACAGGTCACTCGTGCTCTCCTCTTTTCTTCTTAAAGGACACATGAGGGCAACACATGGCACATTATATGTATATACTGGGGTACAGTGTTTTACCGACCACACTGAACACACCGTCCAGATGTGTCTCTCCAAACTGAAGTTATATTACTCTTCTCTCAGTTAATGAGCCAACACACTTCATACCACCCGCTCTTCTTTTCAGAGCTTTGACTTCTCCTCGTGATAAACTCGCACACTCCTTATAAATGCATTGTTTTAAAGGCACCTCTCAAATGTGTAGACAGATAAATATTTGGAGGTGAATCATGGGTGAACGAGTGATGAGTCAGACGTGGCTCCTGTTATTGTCTTACGCTCCGTACCACCAGGGGAGACGATGTGGTGGTCTGCACGTGTGACTTCAGTTTTCCTTCTGTGGCGTCTTTAAAAGCAAAAACATCGCATGTGGTTCTTCGTTCCAGTCAGACGTTTGCATCGAGCGCTGCCGTGCCTCAGGTTAAGACATAAACTTAAACATTACATTAAAAAAATGGCTTTCATGCACAGGACCTCACACACTCTATATGATCCGGAGCTTGGCATTGATATTGCCATGGGTTAATGCTTCTTGTGCCCAGTCTCAACAGACAGTAGTGGCACACACTGCTGTCTATGTTGTCCCAGAGATGGCAGCTGACAGCCTGTTTTAAGAGATTACAATGCTCCCCTGTAGAAAAGTTCTTAAAATTACATTTTAATTGAGGTTTGAGACTACTGGAGACACAGCAGTACCTTGTGCACACAAATATAATAATGTCGTCATGTATTAAGTCTGCAATTTCCAAGTTCCTTTTTTAACCGGGATATTTGAATTTATACGAACAGATTCTTTTTGTATACTCCTTTCCCCCCTCTGTTTAGGAGGTGCAGTATTTGTTCTACTAACAAAAAGCAGGAAAAACCGGCCTGCTGTTAAACATTATTTAGTTTATGTGGAAAAGGAGTTCAGATGTGTCATAATTATCTGCAAATCATCTGTCTTCACTTTCATATATAAATGTTTTCCAGGGCATGGGTGCTGTATTTGCATTAGTGAGCAGGGAAATTGAGTTTGTGTGTGTGTCATCAGCTTTTTTCATAGTTGTTCCTCGAACGGAAGAGAGTCAGTATGGAGAAAACACTGTTGTGTGTTTTTCAGTGGCCTTTTGTCTGAGCTGTTTAGAAAAGCATCCAAATTTGTAAAAAAAAAAAGCATCAGCAGCTGGTTTGGGAGACGGTTTGCTGGACCTTAGATCCCAGGAGATCAGTGGAGAAGGTGGAGAACCGGAGATAGTGAGATTATGAAGCATCCCACTGCCCTGGACCAATAGACTGCAGCCTTGTTATCCTGGATTTGGGAAAGAGGATCGACATGAAGGACAAAGTGGCAGGTTAAAAAACAAAAAGTAGATTTTAAAGGCTGATATGATAAAACCAGAGATGCAAAATAAAGGCTTAATATAAAAATAAATAAAATATAGAGTACACAGATAGACAGACTATACATAGAATGGACACTGGAGTAGACAGCCTGTATTTAAATACGTGAGATATTTGGAAACACCTGAAATGTCAATAAAGAAAGCAGAACCATGACAGTCTATGTGTTCAGGGAATTGCCAACAGACACAGAACAAAGCTCTTCTTTACCCCCTGTCAGCTCAGTGAGCCAAATTCTGTCCACTCTGCTTTGTACAGCATCTTTAGCTTGCCTTGGCATATAGTTCCTGTCTTGTACATTATGTATTTGCATATTTTTCATATTATTCAGGGTGTTCAACAGAAAAACAAACAAACAAACACAGACAAAAAAAGGTAACTGCCATGTTGGCAGGAAAAACATATCTAAAGGGCAAATAGGAAAAATCCAGAAACGCAGAGAGCCAGCAGGAGAAAACAAGGACTACACAAGACACAGAAGAAGGGAAGGGGTAATAAAGAACCAATGGACTTAATCAGACACTAAATAAAGTGTCAAAAGAACAAATGAGGGAAGTAAAACCCTCAAAAATCATATGAGCATCTAAGCTTCAAAGTGAAATATTAAGTCAACTGAAAGAGAGACAAACTTAGATACAGACACAAGGGAACACAGAAAAAATAGCAACGGCAAAACAATAACTAAGGATATCAAACATCCAAGAATCAATATTCAGCCCCACAAAATAGAAAAAAAAACAAGGATAATGAGAGTAGAGCCATGAATATTTACAAATACTATGACAACAAGCTTTTAGCATTGCACCACAGTGCATTTCATTACACTTTGCATTATAAGTGTGAATGTATAAGAGATTACTGAATCTTTGGCTCCTTATATGTGTTAACAGTGAAAACAGTAGATTTGATTATCACTCATTAAAATGGTCGTGGATGTGTGTGTGTGTGTGTGTGTGTGTGTCTGCATTCTCACCTAAAGGAAATGGAGCGAAATGGGCCTTTGGCTTTGCCCATTCAGACTGATGTGTGTTTTCAGAGGGCAGGACTGGCCAGTGGGAGTGTATAAAAGCATATAAAAGAGGCTGCGGTGCTTTAAGTACCAGACTTGTATTTGTCTTTCTGTACATCTCTTTCTTCTCTTTAAGTGCTGCTGGTTTTTGCACAGTGCCTCCTCCATCATGCTGGCTCGAGCTCTGCTCCAGACTTCGCTGGTTCTCTGGTTGGCTCAGCAAACTCTGCAAGGCGGTAAGAAACTCACGGGACAAAGTCTAAAGTTTTATGAACTATTTTTCTTGGCCTTTTTTCTTTCTTTCTTCAATTTGTAATGGTTTAGATCCATGAGCTTTAACACAAAAATATTCATTCATGTTTTAATTATCATGTTTGCTGCTTTAAAAAACATTACCTATAGGAATTGCACAAAGATTAATATAAGTCTAACTGGCATAATCCAACTTAATGTAAAGAAGTTACTAAATTTAGTTGGAAGAAAAATAATTTATGTTGATATTTAACATGATCTAAAGAAATGCTGCACAAAAATGCTTTTTTATTTAGTCAAAATTGAATTCATTTTGTCTAGCGTCAAGATTAATTGTATCTTTAGCTGACAAATGAATTAGATCATATCATATTTTGGTCCAAGTTAAAGTCCCGATGAATCAGCATCTTTAGTGAGTCCCTCTCACTCACTTGTTAGATCTCATCTCTTTGAGACTGAGGGGAGGACTGTATGGACTCTGGGCTCCAACAGCAGAGTCACCGCCAAGTTGCTTTGGTTTATATGATCTAATTTCACTGATTCAAAGGATGCAACGAAAAGGTGGCATAAGCAGGCAAAATGTCACATCCAACTGTGAGAAGAACTAACAGGCTCCACACTGGCGCTGTATCTGATCTCGTGCTCTGGTCGCATCAGTGGATATCTGTCTGTCTCGCACCTTTAGTCCAATCAGGTTCCACTACTGATGTAATCCTCAACTGACATCTAAACTGTAATTCCCACAGTTTTAAGGTCATCTTTTGAGTCTCCTACACAGTGATAGTGTTGGCATAAAATTAAAAATTTAGATTAATAAAAACAAACAATGCTTTTGTTGAAGGACCTCTAATGTCCTTTAAAAAAAGTTTATGCAGTAAATCTGTGAAACAATTATGTATTTTACAGTTATGCATATCATATTTTCCTTATCTGCATTTTTTAATCAGTTGCATAAAGTGAAAATAGCGAGGCGAAAATATCCCAATAGATATCCTGATATTTGTAGGTGAAACATTTATATCCTCTCGATAAAACATTTTGTAGTTGTTCTTTTTGTTTTTGGTACATATGTGGCTACAGACTCTCACCATCTTCACTCACTTTTATTATAAGTTAGATTCATTAGAAATATAAGTATAATTAACTATAAATCACAGATTTATTGACTAACACAACACAACAGTATTGTTATCATTACACTGTTTGGTGTTTGACAGGCTGT